GATTATCATTATGTTTTTTGTTATCATAGTGTGTGTGTGTGTGTGTGTTTGATTTGTTTGTTTATCAATTTGGTAGTTGGGTCCATAAGCCCAAGTATTGAAATCTTAAGCCCAGTCCATGGGTGGTACATAAGCCCAAGTCTTGAAATCTCATGCCCAGTCAATGCGTAGTACCCTCTCCCTTCACAAACAAAGCAGGAAAAGTAACCTTAAAGTTTGAATATAAGCAGAGAGCCTCTATGTGATTCTGGACTGAACTGTAATTCTAATTTTGTTAACGAATTATGCAAGATGACTTTATTACCCCTCTAGACTTTCCTCATTTTTTGTTCCTTTTAATTTTCTTTTTTCTATTCTAGTATATATATAATTACTGGTTTAAACAACATTATTAACTTCTTATGAGAACAAAGCAAACAAAATTTATCAATTAAATCACTAATTAATTCAATCAAATACAAAATTAATTAATTAAATAACTTAATTTTAATTTAATTATATTTTACACACATACATACACAATATATATTATATTTAGCCGTGAATTTTTTAGGAACATGAATAATTTGATAAATCAAGAACAATCATATATCCAAAATCAAGAATAATCATATGCAAAAAAATTGTCTTGGTACTCATAAGTTCTATAGAACCATTTTGGCAACTTGCATCATTGCTATAAATATGTACTAGCAATCAACCAATAACACGGTGTGTGTCGTCAGCGACAGTGTGGTGTCATAGGAGATGAAGAATGGCGGTGATGGAGATAATGAATAGCAGTGTTGATAGAGAGAGAAAGAGAGAGAAGACAGAGGAGGGATCGAGGGTTTTGATCTCTCTCTCTTGCTTCATAAAATGGTTCTCTCTATTGCTCTGTGAAACAGTTGATAAGGACATACATACCCTCAGCACCCTAAACAATTCAAATTTGAATTTATACCCTAAGCGCCCTAAAATAATAAAGAGTGATTGCCTACTTACTACTTCCTTCACCAACTTTGTTTTAAGTAGGAGTTCTGTATATTAAATAATTTTTTTATATGATATTTAATAATTATGTCAATAATACAACATATTTTTACAAAATAAAACATAAATATAACACAAAAGTTGAAACTCGCATAAAGTCAAATCTATGTAATGCTATTTATGTATTTTATCTCACACATGTCTCGTTATATGAGGCTCTATTTGGTTTGGGTTGTAGAATCTGTTTTCAATTTTTTTTTAAAAAAAAAAAACTTAAAAATTAAATTGGTGAAAAAACTAAGAAAAAATAAAAAATACTTATCACTTCTATATAAGTTTTTTCTTTTGGAATGTAGAATAGTTTTTAAAAATTTTAAATATCTTTTAATATTTGTTTTTATCAAATTAATTTCCATTTCTAAAAATAATTTCAGAAACTCAAACCAAACATGCTCTATACCTAAATCATCATATATATATATAGAATAATGCTTGGGACCCCCTATTGGGGTCACCCCCTCACCCCCTTTGCCACGTGGCGGGTGGTGATTGGGGGAGCAGAAAAAAAAAGAAAAAGAAAAAGAAAATGTAACCAATGAGAGAGAGAGGGGGTCAAAGGGAGTGGGGGAAAAGGGGGGATGAATCATTGTTGATATATATATATATATATATATATAAAAGTAGTGTTTTTTACTTTTTTATGTGGCACATTCTAAAAACTTATGTACTTTTTTTTAAAAAGTGACATAAGTTTGTCTTTTTTATTTACATATAAAGTATACACAAATTCACTTTTAATTATAATAACTAATTTATATTGACTCTATTTGAAAAAAATTTATTTTCTATATATTTTTTATCGCGTATTTAGTTTTGTTGTTGTCAAATTTCTTTTATATAATTGTTATTTCAATTTAGTTATTAAGATATTTGAAAAAAAATTATCTCGATATACAAATAAATAAGACAAAATATGCTTCATTATGTGCATCGCACTAATTAAATTAATTTTATTTAATATGAAATTATTTATTACAGAACACTTATATTTTATATACCTATATACAATATGATGAATAATTCAGAAAGAATATTTAAAAAAATCAATACTCTACATAATTAGTTTATTTATTTTCTTCTTAATCAATCACAACATATATATATATATTTAATCTTTTAAATAAATTTTGTGTAGTCCTATTTCTACATATTTTTATTTTCTAAATAAATATAAAAATAAAAATAATAATTAGAATCAAATTTAGTTTTATATTACTATTTCTCTTTCTAATTTAACTAGTATTTTTAATATTAAAATGAGTGTTTTATTTTACTATCTTATAATTTAATATATATCATATAAAATCATTATTTGATAACTACACTTTTATAGTACAATAAAACTAAAATTATCAAAATAAATAAATAATTTAACTAAATTTATTATATATAAGTATTTAAATAACATTTTATTGAACGATAAGGCTAAGATTATTAAAATAAATAATTAAAATTATAATTTATTTTAAATTAAAATTAACATTATTTTTTTTATAACACATATCATGCAATGAGTTATAATCAAGTAATAATTTATATATTATAGAATTTTTCGTTGTTTTATCTTTTTCAAAATTTTTTTTTTTTTTGAAGCAAGTGAAATTCATGATTTTTAGTATATTTGATTAATACAAATAAGGATTTGATTTTAAATTGAGAATACACCTTTTTTTATATAATTTTGAAGAAAATTATTTTTATGAGCTTTTTTACATAGAATCATACAGTGACAAAAATTTTCATCAACCATTAACAAATTTATTTATATTTTATTTTTAATTTTTAAAATTTTCTACGCATAAAATATTAAAACTCAAAATTAATTTTTTATTTTAAAAGTAAATTCCCCGCCACGGTCACGTGCATTATATGAAAGGAAAAGTCAACAAAAATACACGTCACTATTTAATGAGTTAATTGACTACTAAGCCACTAGCATGCATGATATGATATGGCAACTAACCTAATAAAACTTTTTAATTTGACTAAGGGTAGATTTGATAAATGTTTTTTAATATTTTTTTTTTCAATTAGCTATAAAAAAAATCAAAAAAACTTTTAATTTTGAAGTCCTGCTATATTAGAAAGTCTCTAAAAAAAATTGTAAAATAGAAAATGTCATGAAAGAGGAAAATTTAATTTTTCTTTAAATTCTTCTAGGTTAGAATGATGTGAAAAGAACAAACGTTTGAAACAAAGTAAATTTTTTCTTACTAAAAACAAAAATTCAGAAAAATTGATTTTTAAAATTTTTGTCAAATAGAATTCTAATTGATATTGAAAAAAGAAAAAAAATTTTGACCCACTATTCACCCATAATAACATCGTTAAATAATTGTGGTTTTCTTTGGTTTTGTATGGGAAGAAGCTGGCTGCAAGTCTTGGTGGTTAATAAAAAGGAGAGGTGAATTGCTTTGTTGGTTGATGGTGGTTGATATGTTTTGTTAGAATGTTATACTCAGCAGTGGACTAATTTGCTCAGTAATGGACTGTTACACTGGACTGCCATGCTTTTGGTTTATGGTTTGGGTCATAATCTGTTGGGTTGGTCTGGTTCTTAATTTGTTCTTTCTAGCTTTGTGGGTGAGTAGCTGTTGCTTTCTGTCATTGACTAGCAGTAGCAGCATTGTTTTGGTTAAAGAGCAGCAGCTGCAGCATTGACACTGGACGTGAGAGGTTGTCTGGCATAGGAGGTCTGCTGGAGTATAAAGATGATATAAGGTTGCAAACCTGTATGTTGTTATCTGGTGCTGGTTTGCAGAGGTTGCCTCTATTGAAAAATTGCTTTTGCTACTGAAAAATTGCCTTTGCTGAGTTCTGTTGCTTGTTATATTTGTTATGTTGTTCTGTTTTTTCTTCTTTTGGTTGTGCTTGATTGGCTTCTCACCAATCTTGAGTGTGGTACTAGCATATGATTGTGTTTCTTTTGCAATGCTAATCTAGTTGAGATTATTGAGGTTAGCTTTGATGCTTTGTGCTCACCCTTGATTTGTTGATGTATTTTGCATGTATTGTGTTTTTCATCAATAAATCTTTTATTTTGCTAATAAAAAAAAAGTGTTAAATAATTGTGATTATAACAAATCAGACACAAAATCGAAAGTTAGGCTTTAAATAATTAAATTTGTGATAATTAAAAATTTGACTCATAATTGGCCATGTGATTATTGGTGGATTGGATGCTTTAAATCGAGATGGATTTCAAAGAATATAAAATGTGAGGTTAATGCGGAGTGATTATCATTATGTTTTTTTGTTATCGTGTGTGTGCGCGCGCGCTTGTTTTGTTGTTTATCAATTTGGTAGTTGGGTCCATAAGCCCAACTATTGAAATCTTAAGCCCAGTCCATGGGTAGTAATAAGCCCAAATCTTGAAATCTCAAGCCCAGTCAATGCGTAGTTCCCTCTCCCTTCATAAACAAAACAGGAAAAGTAATCTTATTGTTGTGTTTGGTTGGAAAATTTGGAGAGGAATTTAAAAAGAGAAAGGAAAAAAATATGTGAAATAAGTGAAATGTAAGTATATTTTACTTATATTTCACCTACTATTTTCATTTTGTTTTTCAAGTCACTCCTTAAATTCTCCAACCAAACATAATATAAGTAGAAAAATCATTCATGCTGTGTTTGGTTGGGGATTTGGAAAAGAATTTGAAAAGAGAAATATAAAAAGTGCGTGAAACTAAGTGAAATGTAAATATATTTCATTTATATTTCACTTACCTTTTATATATATATAATTTTTTATATATCTTTTAAAATCTCACAATCAAACACAATTCAGGAGAATAAACGTTGAGGACAGAAGAAAAAATTATTAGATATTTTTTAAATATGTTCAGTAGTATTTTGTTTATTTTATTTTTGGAAAAAAAAAAACGAAAATAAGAAAAGGATTCAGACTTGGGGAGCCTAGTGAAAATTTGAAAATCCATATAAATGAATTGCCTGCCATTTAAAATTCTCATTCCATAGTATTATGAAAACTTCAAGGACGAATCTGCAAATTTAGCTTCATCTGCCTGCCTTATCTCCTTCGTTCCTCCTCGGGGAGCCAGAGGCCATTACTACATTACAGTCACAGCTCTCTGTTTCTCTCTCTCAACAATAACAATGGTTTTGACGATGATGTCTATGTCTCTCGCTCAGTCTTCTCTCTCCTCTTTGTCTGTTTCACCGATGCTATTTTCATCTAAAACCCTACCTCGACCAACTCACGCTGTTTTTCTGAGTAGGCATAGCAAATTCTCTCTATCCCAATCGAATCGATACTTAAGGCTTCATACGAGTCCATCTTCAAGTAGAGGACGCCATTCAATATGCTTTTACAATCGCGATGAAGATAAATTTCAACATAAGGTTAGATTTTCCAATTTGTATATGAGTTCAAGTATTTTGCTTTTTCCTTCTTACTAACTTGTTCCGATTTTTAATTATGAAAACTTTCGACCTATTCTCTGTTTGGTTACTGACAAAACCGAGTATTCAATCACAGAAGAAAAGCAAATTAATGTACTGTATGAAATTTAATTTAGTATCAGGATACTAATTTCATTCCCTTTACTACAATGTTTCCATTAATGGCAATTATCAATATCTTAATCTTCTAAAATCGCATTAACTTCATACATTCGAACTTGTATACAACATTCCCAACTCAGTTGTGCACACAAGTTTAAAAATTAGCAGAGTTCAGTTTGACAGTGCTTCACTCAATTATTCTAGCTTGGCTAGGCAAACAAAAAAAGGGTGGAAATGGCATTTAAGTGAAAACAATTCAAAATAATTGCACTTTCATGGAGGTGCAAGTCGGAGCTAGTAAGAGTTGTGTTGTGCCCTATGGACGTGAACTTATTTGCACCTCCATCAAAGTGTAATTATTTTGGTTGTTCCTATTTAAATGCACTTTTTCCTATACATATATATTCGTGTATGTATAAAGCTGCAAGTTAGGATTGGGCGTGATTCGTTGAACTCAGATTGAGTTTCTAATCGAGCTGATATTTGATCCAATCTTAGTAATGTTTAACATGGTAGTCTTTGGGAAGCCACGAGTTTGTTAAGTAGGGTTGGCATTTAGGTCCGAAGCTTTGATTAACTTAAAATTAAAATTGAACTTGTGTTGTTTTTTATTACATGGGCAATGTCAACTAGCATACAATTAAGTTGATTTTGAGCATGCTCAAATAGTTTGATTTGTCTTATTATAGCTCAACTATGGAAGATGTAATCTGATAGAAGATTGTCAAAGTTTGAACAGTTAAAAACTTTGTAAAATATGAAGTTTTTGTTGATTCAATCTTGAAATGGTCTTTCAGGAAAGTGAGTTGGCCTGGCCGATCCTGAAACGGTGGGATGTGCCTTGGAAGTGGCAAACAGTTTCCTTAACCTCACTTGCTTGTGGAATAAGGTGTCTTTTCTGTACTTCACAGCCCCTTTTTGAATCTTTAATATCAAATTAACTTTCCCAAGTTGATTGTGGGGGTGCATGTGTGCACTCGTGTGATGAAACACTGTTATGTTGGAAGAGTGTTTATGAATCTTGTAACTGTGATCGAGCCTCCTCTTCCTTCTCTCTTTTATCTCTTGTAGTCGTGGAGGTTTTCGTAGTTATCTATTTTTTAATTATGCTTTTCTTCTTTAGCTTTTTGTGTTTTTAAATTATGTCTAATTATTATCCAGGCAGTTTTGTTTTGACAGGGTTGATAGAGGCAGCAGCTATACCCTACCTAGGACTTCAAATTGGAGAACTGAGCTTGGATGAGAAAGCAGAAATACTATTTCTGGACCAGGGGTATGAATTACTCCTCTTTCTCTCTCTAAATTTCAAATAAGTCTGTAGTTCTAAGGTTTGTTCGGAAAATTTAAAGATTCTGAGACCCAAAATTAGATCTGTTGGGCCGGTTTTAGTGCGCCAAGATTGTTGTAATCATCTCTCTCTCTCTCTCTCTCTCTCTAAAAGTTTGGCACTATGTACTTATGATTCTCATGAAAACCTTCATTTTCATGTTTCACTAGTGTAAAATGTAAATTTCCTAATTAGACTCGGCCTAGTAAGCCATTGCCTTTGAAATGAAAAAATCCTTAATAGTTTATTATTGAAGCGCTGATGATTTGTATTATTTTATATTGTTGGACTTCTAAATCATATAATGTGTCTAACTTCATTTGTCTGATTATTTTGCAGCATTACGACTGCAGTTGTATTAGTTGTTTTGTATAGTCTCACCAACACGTTCCAACCTCGTCCCGATGACTTGTTTCGTTATGGTAACAGTAATACAAAAACTTATTTATCACTTTATTTTGGACTGTGTACAACTTCTATTATATTTTAGTGTTTGGTGATACTCAAATCTAAACTTACCACCTGCTTCTGTTATTTGAAAGTCCACATTCATACATATAATGGTATAATTCTGTCTAAAGAAACAATGTTTGATGAGTATTGCCACGAAGTTGCAAAATTTATATTTTGAAGTGCAATCCTGGCAAATGATGTGTTTCTATTAGTCATTCTCTGCACCTTGGATCTACAGCCAATTTGTTAATTTATTATATTAACAATGTTTCAGATTTGAGGGAACCTTTCGATCTACAGAAAGGATGGCTCTCGTGGGCAGCAATTGGTCTTGTTGGAGCCCTAATAGCTATTGCATTGACTGGAGCTGCCCTCTCCTTGTTTGGTGGTGAGGACCCACAAAGAGAGGTCAGAAGTTGATTTGTAATAATTTGACACACGCACATATGAACACATTTACATGAACTTTTTAAGATGGAGTGTACATTTCATATGATTTTCTGGTTGTGATTAGTCATTTTACCTGTGATAGCTGGATTAGATATTCGAAATCAGATCCTCTATAGTGATTTTTGGTAAGGTGATCTTAGAGTGATTTTCTGAATGGTTGAGATTTAATTGTACAGAAGTTGAGGGTACAATAGAACAAAAGTTGAGGATACAATGTTACTGATAATCACTTTAAAAAAAATCTCAGCCATTCAAAAAATAACTCTATGATCACTCTACGAAAAATCACTCTAGAGGAGCCAATTGCTCATTCATTCTTGATTGCAATAGCTAATAAGGAACTTCCAAGTTCCATGGACCTACTTCTTAAGTCATTTATTAGAGTGATGCTCAATTCTCAAATCTCTCTGTGTGCATGTGTGTGTGCGGTCTGTTGACTTTGACTAAGCTAACTCTAATTATCTAGTTAATATTATGCATTTTTTAGTCTTTGATCTAATTGATTCTGTTTTCTACGTTAATTAAGAAAAGAATGATGGCTGGTTTTTTGTTCTATTATACATCTGATTTTGGATTTTTGTAGCTTTTATGTGCTTGTACTGCATAACCAATCATTCGTTAGTATTTGCAACTTGATTTCAGACTGATGCTCTAGTTCGCTTGCTTCCATTGATTGGATCCTCAAGTATCAGGTATTTTAAAGGTTTTTTTTTTTTTTTTTTTCATATACATCTATCTTTTGTTAAATTGAAAAACAACTGCGCATAGTTAATCTGTAGACATTTGGTGTAGTACTTCCTTTGATTGGGTTGTGACTTGTAAGTACTAAAAATCTAGTTAATCATCCCCATTTCTCTTGTAGCACTGTCTGTCTGCTTGGCATCACGGGTGTCCTTGCTCCACTCCTTGAGGAGACTCTGTTTCGAGGTTTTCTTATGGTGTCCCTTACCAAGTGGTATGGCTTCTTTTTTATATTTAAGTATGAAATTTCCATTTCTTGCTGCATTCTGTATCCTATTGATGTCCATCAAACATCCTATTTGGTCTAAGAAATTAGAAACCTAGGCCCTTGGTTTTTCCTTTTCAATTTAAGTTAATTAAAGTTAGTCAACGTGATGCTTAAATTAAGTTACTGAGATGTTATGCGGGTTGACTGCCCCAATATGTGAAAGCTAACTTTCAAATTCTTTTGGTGAAGATTTCAAGCCAAGAAAATCATTTTTATTTTCACTTGTTTTAAAAATAATATAAAATTTTAATTCGTATTTGTGTACTTATACTGTCATCCAACCTTACATATATATGACCACTTTTTAGTTTTTATTTGCACAATGTGGTTGCACTTAGGCCAAAACTTTCTTTTCATGTTTGTTAGGGGTGTAAATTTGGCCTGGCCCGGCCCGGCTCATGTTGGGTTGCGCGGGGTCCCACCAAATTTCGGGCCTCCGCCAAATTTCGGGCCTGGCTGGGCCGGCCCACGGGTTAGAAACTAGGCCTAGGGAGTGTTCGGTCCTTGGGCTGGCTGGCAGGCTTGGGCTTGGGCTTGGGCTTGGGCTCGGCTTGACCCTTTTTTTGTTTTTTAAATATTTTTCCATCAATATTTTTTTTTTTATACTAAAAATGACATTAGATTTTTCCATCAATATTTTTTTTTTTATACTAAAAATGACATTAGACCTCGAGCGGCCAGGTCTCGAACTGGGCCTTGAATGAGTTGATGGGCCAGGCCACAGGCCGGGCTGTAAAACAGACGGCGTAGGCCCAGAGTCTCGGACTGGGCTTGGGCCCAGGCCTGACCTGGCCCACCCGAGCCGCAGGTAGCCGACGGGCATGCAGGGGACCAATTTTACACCCCTAGTGTTTGTCAACTTAAATTTATGCCATTACACCAAAAAGAAAATGGGTTGAATTGCAAGAAAAAATGTCTTGCTTATGACAAACATTCAACTTCAGCTTAGATAAAGTTGAATAATGAGAAAGGGTTCATAGAGTTAAGCTGCAAATAGCATACACAAGGCTTCTTAGTTTGAAGTTTGTTTATTGGCTGCGCTTGTGCACACATATACACACACACACACAGACAGCACACGACCGACAACTGCCTGTTATATTTGCTCCTCGTGCTTATTCCCTTTTTTTTTTTCCGTTGGTAAATTGCAAAAAGCTCTCATGATTTACCAAATTCTCTCTGCAGGTTGCCAACTCCAGTTTCTGTTCTCATTAGTGCTGCAGTATTTGCAGTCGCACATCTCACTCCTGGACAGTTTCCCCAGCTGTTTGTGTTAGGTATTGTTTCTATATTTTGTAAAGTTGACCTAAATTGAGGAAACAAAATGATCACTCAAAAAAGCCAGAAAATACAGATCCTCAAAAAAAATTGGAATATGGGAAATGGGACAATATGTTGTCTGACTAACAATTGGTCTGATTTACTGAATTTCTCAGACATTTGCTGTAAATTTTGTCTCAACATTTTTGTAAAAAGTTCAATTTTGGATGGCTGACCAACATGTACTATAATATTAAACTCAAATATTAAACAATCTTTTAATGCATTATGGAAATGGAAAGCTGAGTATCAGCAGCACAGTGATTTGTGTTTAGCTGAAACTTTGGGGGCTTCCAATGTGCTGTTATAATTTTTGTACTGCTTCAAAGAAACTAACAGAATTTAATATACAATTAGGGATTGCTTTGGGATTTTCGTATGCTCAAACACGTAACCTTCTCGCTCCCATCACTATACATGCTCTCTGGAACTCTGGAGTGATCTTGCTTCTCACCTTTCTTCAGGTAAATTGTCTCTGCTGACGGATTTATATTTTCTTGGAATTTCCCACATTTAGTTTGCATATTTTCTTCCCCATAATTCTATATCTTCATTTTGTGATGAAATTATTGGCTTCATCGGTTCATCCCATGACATTACGGGCTCTTTCGTAAATTGTAATTATGCATTTATACTGTGACCATTAATTCTTTGCTTGCTGATTTCTCATTCTTTGTTCACAGATGTATAATACTTGTTAAACTCATTAAATATCTAATATCTGGCATTCCTTCTATGTTGTGGCATATTTCTTAGAGATCCTATGGCGTAGCTAATGAGATGCCATTGGAGATTTATAGCTAGAAAATTGTGCAGGCTCTGGCTGTGAAATTAAAGTAATTATTGTTTAGCATCTCTGTCTCTCTCCAACAATGCAGATATACTACTAGTGGTTTGCAAGAGAGTCATAGAGCTTGTTGGATTCGAGTTTTGTAGCTCTTTATTTCTAAATGCATTAGTTTATGCTGAAACAAAGCTTGTAAAAAGTGCTCATCGTGTTGATTTTAAGTTGTAATCATGTATAATTTGGATCCTCGAGAACTAGACCTGGTATGATTCAATCCTTGGGCAAATAATTGTGAACTTCTCATAATTGGAAATTTACATTGCTTATTAAGTTTTGGTGGCAAGTACTGAGAATTGCTTTTCCTGGCTGTTTGTTTGTAGGTCCAAGGGTATGATATCAGGGAATTGCTGCAGGCCTCTTCATAGAGATTGTGCGCATTTCTTTCGTTCTGACAGTATGGGGCGGTGCTTGGTTGAATGCTTCAGTTTACTCATTGTTCAATTTATCTTTATTGTAATTTTGAATTTTTATTCAGTTTTATTTTACTAGAAATTAAAAGGGATTTGATTGTGTAAAGTTTAGTCTAATCCACCTATATTAGTCAGGAGACAAAAAAGAATCTGCTATGCGCATGTGCATCTTTACATGTGCTTGATTCATGGCTACGTATGGAGTCATGTTTTGTGATGACTTCTGGAGTTGGATTAATTGTTATCATATTTTATGAGGGAGGCTTCAAAGTGGGAGCACCGAAATTCACCCCAATAATATTGTTGGGCATCCACCATTTCTTGGATTTTATTTTTAACCCCATTATACCCCTATCTAAATTACCGTTCGTATGCCAGTGAATAAATTCGAATTTTTAACTTCCTATTATGGTTGAAAATGTGCTGAGTTGAGTTGAGTTGAGTTTTAGGGTTGAGTTTAGCTCGTTAAATAGTTGAGAAACTTGAACTTGGTTCGAGTTAACTTGATTATATAAATGAATCAAAATAAAAAAAATTAATATGAATTATAAAATATTAGAAAATTACGAGTAAAATATACAAATATTCATATTAATAATAAGTTTTATCAATCAAATATGTAAGCTTACACAAATGTCAAGTATAAATAGAGAAATAAAATAAATTAACAAAAAAATATTTAATATATTATTAAATAAATATTAATTTATATTCTTCATGTTCACAAATTTTATCAATGTGAGCTTGGATTAACTCAAGTTTGATTTAATACTAAACAAACTTGAAAATTGAATTATAACTTGTTCATTTAAAAATATAAGTCGAGTTTAAATAAATGTTTAACAAATTGAATTTAAACTGTTCATAAGCAGGTCAGTTATTTTGCAGTCTTACTTAGTTTCTACTTAGATACAAAGTTCTAACCAACAATTGCCTAGTTGGTTTTCATCATTCTTGAACCTAATGTGGACTTTTTAATTGCTAATTAAGGGGGGTTAATGTTCACATAGAAAGAGGTACGGATGCTTAGAGTTTTGAGAGTTTGACTCATTTTTATAAATTGGTTGCACGTTTGGGAAGCAAAACCTAGGTCAATATCAACAGACAAGAAGGGTTCCAAACGAGGGTTAGGGCTAGGAAAAATTTGGAGTCCCCAAGTTTTTTTGGCATTTGACTCAGTGAAACTCACCTCTTTCCCACCCCATTTATTACTTGGTACTCTACTTGCTATCCACTAAGTAGACATGGTTAGCAAACTCAAGTTCCTAGTTGCCTAGAATTTATAGTTGAATATTGAGGGTTATGAAGGAAATTCAAACTATTTTGGTTTTAGTTTCAAACCTTAGTTTTCATAATTGCTTTACAGAAAGCAAGAAACTGAGGAAACCCATATCCTGGTTTTCCCGAAAGGGCCACAAAATCGATGGAAATTTTGCCCATATTTTCGGAAATCACCAAAGTACCCATCTCCCACTAACTATTATTATTTTTAAAAGGATTAATTATTGGGTATATGATTAGAACCTCAGTAGTAGGTCTAATCTCAGGGTAACTTTAATAATGTGCTTATATATATATATATATATATATTTTATACTAAAGTTAAAAATTCGCAACAATTCTTGCAATTCCATCTTCAATTGTGGATTATTTTTCATGTCAGCTCATAGCAATATTAAGGTGTCATCAGGGAACAAAAATAAAAATTGCCTTTTCCAACTTTCGTAAAAAGTTAGAAACTTGCTTTTTTGGCATCAAAATCATTTGGGAAGATAGCAAAAAGTTACATGTGAAATTATAGCTATACCTTCCAGTTGCAAAATGAGACACATTTGTAAAAATGTAAATTTCCTAAATTAAATGGGGGTATTTTGATCATTTGATTGTGATATGATAGCATAAAAAAATATTAAGTAAAAAAGTCAAAAGTAACTTTTTACCAACTTCCTAAATGACTTTATGAAAAAATAAAAAAGTTTGATTAAAAGTCAAAAGTCAATTTTTAACTATTTTCCCAAAACACTTCTAAATTTTGACAAGAGCTCGACTCTCTTTCACAGAAACAGCTTATAAATGACATTAATATTTTTACGGAGAAAATATAATAAATAACATTTGTATAACTAGAATAGTTTTGTCAAATTATGGAATTTTGACTCCATGACACCAAAATTGAATTTTAACAATGCCATTTTAACACCTATTATTGAAAATGTATTGCGATCTCATATCAGTTAATATAAACATTGACTATATATGTGTATATAAGTTTTTGGGATGCCATTTCCTTATAAGCCAAATTTTAAGGATGAGTTCTACTTAAAAGATCTGTATTATTTGATATAAGAGTTAGCCACTCCATCGAGTATAGGATCGGACGCACATATGCACATTGCCATCAGATCAATATCGACAGAGTTCTACCCATAGAGTTCATATAAAAATGCTCCAAGGGGCAAGCTACGGACAGTGGTTAAAGACCTATAATTGCATTATTTTAATTTAGAATTTATTTGGAAGCCAAGCCAATTAACATATGTTGTTAATTAATTGTATATATGCGTGAGACATAAGGTTCGTCAAGTGAGGTGGTAATAACTTCTAACGAAAGGATGCAAAAGAAAGAAAGTGTTTGTCTGTTTCCAGCTTGGCTGGTAGAACATAACCTAGGGGTGTCTTTTATTGAAGTTTAGACCAACCCAAACCCTTGTACTAGTGTCATTTTTACTAGATGAGAAAATGTTAACAAATATAAAGTAACTTGGCAATGACTTTTTGTAATAGTGTTTTGTTATAAATTGATAGAATGCAAATGAGCTAGGCCATTCAAAATAAAAATAAAAATGCATGTGATACAAAGTCTATTTGTATAGTATCATTTTATTGAATGTTAAGGAGATCTAATTGATATAAGATTTTATTATATTTGGGAGAATATTAAATTAATAAAAGTCAAAAAGTTAATATAAAATAATCAATTCATTCTTTTTTTTTTTACATGTCTTTTGATAAAAAATAAAAAAATTATTTAAAATGTCAATTCTCTAACGAACCCTTAATATGCTAATAATCTATTTTCTTTTAGGGGGAATTACACCCCAGTGGAAGGCAAAAGAATAAAAAAAAAATTCACTGATTTGTAATTACTTTTTAAAATGCCCACTGATATTGCCCTTTCTTTTAAAGTTTGATTTGACATCTCACCTTCAATTTGATTCTACTCTTTCAAGAACAGTGTCTGCATTTGAAAACACACAAATGTGAAAATAAAGCCAAAAATCAACTTATAAGCAAGTAACATGGAGATCCCTACCAAATTTCACTCTAGAATTCCGCACCCTCACAACGTCAAGGGCAAAATTGTCATTGAATCAAGGTAAAATACCTAGTCCCAACCAAAACCAAAAGACTAGGAGAGTCAACTTTGTTCATGTGGACAGAGTTGTAACCCTAAAATATTATAGATTGTGGGCCAAATGGATCATCTGATGCATTGTTCTATTAGGCTAAATAGTCTTAGATGGCCATATAGTCTATCACTTATATTCATTCAATCTGACAAGTCAGTGGAATAGAAGCTGTGGGGGAATGGAATAGAAATGGGATTTTTGGATCCTGAGAAACTAATATATAGATCTCTAGATTAATAAATTTGATTGCAGAAGCATTAATTGGAAATGGGTTTTGGTCCACTTTTCCAAATAGCATTTTCAAAACCAAAGGTTATGATAAAATAACTATTAAGTTAGGAAGTTTTCTTTGTCTTGATATGAAGTTTTAGATTAAATACTTGAATGAGCATTGAATAATAGGAAATTAAAAATCAACAAATGAATATCCCAACACACTGCTGATTTGCTAGTTTCTTGAGATTCCTCAATTTGGAGACTAAACAAATCAAAAAAAATGAGTGGAGGTTCTCAAGTAAGAGATAAAGAGTCTTTGCTACAAATCCATACTCTTTGACTTGGCGTTTTCTTGGTTGCAAAAAACACACAGCTCCTTTAAAGTCACCTGAAAAGGCGGCTTATCATTCGGGGGAAGAACCCTTCTCAGGAAGCATATAATGGCTTCAAATTAGGTGAAAACTTGTAGATCTCTTTGAGCTCATCTCTCTTTTGAGTTCAAGTTCTTTCTAGGGTTTCTTGACAGTTGACAGTTAGAGCTCTTAGGTTTACTTCTTGTTAACTTGGATTTATATCCATTTTAAGAAGAGGATTTATATCCATTTTAAGAGAGGTAGGGAGGGGGGGTACCCTAAGCTTCTTTTATAAGCTGTTCTTTTGATTGTTTTTGAGAAAAAAGTTGTGAGTGTTTTGAGAAGATAAAGAAAAAGAATGGATGAGATAGGAAGTGAAACTGATAAAATGGATGAAATCATGCTACCGGGGTTTAGGTTTCATCCGACAGACGAGGAACTTGTTGGTTTTTATCTAAAGAGGAAGGTTCAGGTTCAGCAACGACCGCTCTCCGTTGAAGTCATCAAGCAACTAGACATCTATAAACATGATCCATGGGATCTCCCAAGTAAGAAACGGATTAATTAAATTTTCTTTCTTCTTTTTTGTTTTTGTTTTTATTTTTGTTTTTGTTTTTGTTTTTGGCTTTGGCTTTGGCTTTTGGTTTTTGATTTTTATTATTGTTTTTATATTTTTGGAAGGATGCACGACTGGTTGCAAATAAATGCTCAATGTTTTTGCTTTGATCCTATTTTTATTTTACCAACTACTCTGTGTAAAGCCTTCCATACCTAAACCATGGTTCCAATCAAGACTCATTGAACAACTCTAGAAAAAAATATAAAGTAATAATAAGAAATATGTCATGCAACTTTACTTTATCAAAAATCAAACTTTTTTTGAATCACTCACTATAAAATTGAAAAATTATATCTATATATATTTTTTTGGTTTATAAACTTTTTATTTTACGTTAATGTTAACTCATTAGATTCAATAGTAAGTTCATTCACATAAAATATTGCATAACTTTAAGATTTTTATTTTATTTTATACATAAATCACTAACAATAATTTGTTTGTAATCATAGCCTTTTATTATTAGACCATGGTATTTGATTGCCAAAATACATAATAGAAATTTTTGTTACACACCCTTTTCGTGTGTTTTTCAGTTGTAGCCATTAAGACAACTCTAAAATTTGTTAGGGTTTTAAATATTAAGATTCTGGACTTTTGATACCTAGTTGATACTGTTCGACATCAGCTGATATATGATTGTGTCACCAACACCACTTCTGTCTATTGACTTTGTGCCCTAAAAATAAGAACTTGACAAGATTTTTACTATTATTTTTTGCTGCAGAGTTGGCGACTACTGGTGAAAAAGAATGGTACTTCTACTGTCCTAGGGACCGGAAGTACAGAAACAGCACGCGGCCTAACCGGGTAACTGGAGCTGGGTTCTGGAAAGCCACCGGAACAGACCGGGCCATATACTCCTCAGAAGGTTCAAAGTGCATAGGGTTGAAGAAGTCCCTAGTGTTCTATAAAGGTAGAGCTGCTAAAGGGATCAAAACTGACTGGATGATGCATGAGTTTCGCTTACCGTCTTCACTTACTGACTCAACTCCACAGAAGAGATTCATGGACAAGAACATACCTGCCAATGTAAAGCATTTCAAGAATATCTTTTTATTATGCTATTATCTAAGTTATATCATCAAGGTCGTTTGATAAGATTAAAAACTAGTAAAAAAAAAAAATGTCATTTGGTAATGTTTGTTGTGTTTTATTTAAAAAAAATATTAAACACATTTATATTTATTTTTTATAAAGGAAAAACTAAAAAAATGTGTTTGGTAACAAGTGAGAGCGAGTGGTTGGAGGTGATTGTCACGGTCAGAAGTAGTTGTCAACTGCCAAAAGTAGTGCCCGACTAGAGATGATTGCCAAAGGTGATTGCTGATGGTGAGAGGAGGTTGGCAATGACTAGAGGTGGTGGGGGTAGGGCAGTTGTGGTGATTGGTGTTGGTGATGTGGTGGGTAGTGGTTGGTTGGCTGCAGGAGATGGAAGAGGAATGAAGGAATGAAAACTTATTTTGAAATAGGTGAAATAAAAAATAAAATAAAATAATTTCATATAAAAAATATTAAATTTTGCAAATTATTTAAAATTTTTAAAAATGAAAATAGACGACAAACGAGTTTTTGTTATAGTTATCAAATTTTTTTATAAACATAAATAGAAAACTTTAAGGGCAAGTATCGAAAACTAAACTCTGAAAATTATTATGTAATAAAAATTTTAACCGGTCAATTTAATTAAGTAGTTTTTTTTTTTTTTTTTACTTTGGATTTGCAGGATTCATGGGCAATTTGCAGGATCTTCAAGAAAATTAACACAACTACACAAAGAGCCATCTCTCATTCTTGGGTCTCCCCACCACCACCATTGCCTCAAACAACATCTTCTGAGACATTCACCCAATTAGCTCCTCCTCACAATACTCATCACTTCACTTCAGCGACCATGTCATTCACACCAAAACCAACTTCATTATCATCAATCCAATTTAGTACTAACAATGATCTTCAACACTCACCTATTAATACTTCTTTCTCTCCTTTAGATGTTCTTCTCAAAGACCTTCCCACAAGTTGCTCATTTTCGTCGCTCATTAATACCTCATTAGGGCACTCCAAATCCACAGTTGATTCATCTTCCATGTTCTTAAACTTGTCCTCATCAACTTCCATTTTTGGAGATTTTGATGGGTTGCAAGAACAGTGTAATGGTTTCTCACCGCAGGAAATGGAAGCCTTTCCCGGATATGGACAAGAGACAGCATTGATGAAAGACTCAAATGGGGCATATTTTGATGATGATCAGTGGGAAACAATGAAATCCATTGGGGTTCCATTCAATTTGCCACTGAACATGCTTGAATCTGATGCATGGAAGTCGAATTTGCTGTGGGATTCTTTTCCTTCTCTTAGTGAGATGTCCACTAGCTATTCTGCTAACAAGAAGTGCAATACCTAAAACAAAAAAATAAAAAATAAAAAAACCAAGTTGATACCCACCTCGAACCATCTACACAAACGGGATATAGAACCGGACAAGTAGGTCTATCTCCGGTTCTATGTCCTATTTTTGTATTTTTAACATTAGTGCTAGAATCAGTGTGTTTGATTTCAGTTTTTTGGATTAAGTTTTTTGAAAATTAAGTTTTTGATTTTCGTGTTTTTTTTTTTTATTTTTAGTGAATATTTTTAAACATTTTTTTTTACTTTTTTAGATGCACCTTACTTAGATGTATCTAAAAAATAAAAAATTCGTGAAAAAATATTTTAAAAAATTAATAAATGCATAAAAATATAAAAAATGTATTGAATTCTCATATTTTTTTTGTATCTTTGGTATTTAGTGAATTTTTAAAATGTTTTTTTCATAATTTTTTACTTTTTAGATATATTTGTGTTAGGTATGTCTAAAAAGTAAAAAAAAAAAATACTTAAAATATTAAAAAAATTCAATAAAAACAAAAAAATACAAAAAATAAGAAGGTAGAATTTTCTGAAAAATATTTTTGAAATAGAGAAACCAAGCACAGTTTCATTGTTTTGGACTCAAAAGTTCTGGTTCATGTTAAAATAACATTCTCTCTAGTTAGGGTAGTATTGTATATCTTTGGGTAGGGACTTTGTATTTGTTTATTAACTTATCAAATCACGAATCCAAGGGCTCAGACATTGAAAGTTCAATCGCTCACAATTGAATGTTATGATAAATTAGTATCGGACAACAATTAGCAGAAATATTGCCATATAAAAGCGTACTGTATCTATATATTTTTATGAAAAGGCTCATTTGATGGAACTTAAGACTTGATTTAGTTTGATTTGATTTATATTTTCACGAGAAGATTTGAACTCGAACTTATGTAGATGCATCAATTGCCTGATTTATACTTTCATTTTAAAGAGAGTTTGAAACTCGAGCTTTTGAAGAAGCATCTCATACTTACAAAAGCATCAAATACCTAACTGTACTTCTGAACTTACTGACTTCCTTACATCAACATCTTAATTTGCTGAGTAATGTTAGCTAGTATTAAGAAAAGTTTCATAAAAATTCTCCGCTTTTTAATTACATACAAATAAAACACTACACACTAATCAAATGATGACAAAATTTCATAAAATATTTTATGATATTTCTTTTATTGTATCTAAACATTATTCTAATTTGCCATATATAACAATTGACAGTACTTTTGTCTCAATGAAAGAATCATAGAGAATGTGTCTAGGAGCTTACAAAATGCAAAGAAAAAAACTAAGCATGACATAAATCTAATCAAACCAAAGGGTGAAAGTAGAATTCTTTCCTTTTAATTCTAACTAGTTCCTTTTATATCTCCACATGAAGGTTACTAAATTGAAACAACAAATCACGAGATAAATCCAACTTGACTTCACTAACAACGATAGCTAATATCACATGTAAAATATCCAAACAGAAGTTCGAGACCACATGAAGTAATAATAGGAAAAACAAAACACAGTAGCACAATGGATTTGTCGACAAAATCACCAATAGTAGTAGCAGCCCAAGAAGATACAAAACCAAATTCAAACACCTCACATTACATTTTCCTGATTCCTAGTCATCGGCTGTATTCAAAATTCTCTCGATGCAGTTGAAAATTCAATACTTTTCAAAGTTTAGCTCTTGGCGGCTTGTTTTTCTTTGGACTTCTGAATCTTCAAAACCTTCTTCACAATCTTTTGCTCTTCCACTAAAAAGGCTCTGACGATCCTACAAAAATTAACAAAAAAAATATGCCCAGAGACTTGTCACAATCTAAATATAGATGTGAACAAGAGAGAACAATTGTTAAATTCTAGCAAGAACATACCTTTCCCTCACAGCACCGCCAGACAATACTCCACCATAAGCACGGTTCACAGTCCTCCGGTTTCTAGATAATCTGGATCTCTTGTATTCAGCAGGTCTCAAGTGAGGAATCTGCGGGTACATTTAACAATGTACCATTAGTTTGAAGTACAACAAATGGAAATTATAAAAATGATTGAAATGCCTCCACAAAAACCCAATACAATGCTCCCTTAACTTGCAAGTAAAGGAAATATATGGCAATTAGTCATTCCACCATAAGAGGAATGTGGACAGCAGTGTGGACAGCAGTTTGTGAGATTGTAACACATGTTTAATGATAGCATCAGGGAGGGTGTAAATACACAATGCTAGAAGTGGGAAAAAAAATCCCCATTCATCCACAAGATACTAAAGTTCCTGAAATTTAGTCAATGCAATGAGATTCTTCTAATTATATAAAACATGAAGAAAATGCAATTAAGAATTTTAATAAATGCCAAAGGAACACATTAAACCCCAACATAACACCATGCCAATTAACCATGCCTTGAGAAGGGAAAGATAAATAATCATAAATGACTATATAATTTAATTGTTTTATTAATTTTAAGAGAAAACAGAACTGCAAAAATGTAGATCTAATTTGTCAAAAATACCTCCACAGCTTCCCCTCACATTTTTAACCCATAATTGTACACGTTAATCATGGGGAATGGAAATACCATGATACATGTGTAATGTGAGTTTAGAAACTAATGTCTTAATTTCATTAAAGTTAGAATTACACCCCTAAAAGTAGATACAGGAAGCTAAATAAGGTTTTTTTTTTTTTTCTTTGTTAACTATGATGTCTTGGACAAATCAACAAAATGCAAAAGACCAAACTTTGAGACAAAAAACATGGAATCAATGCAGTAATAGCTTAAGTGGTCTGGGTTTCACCACCCAAATATGTCACATCTAGCAAATTTTTGTGATATGTTTTTACTCAACACCATATCTGGCACATAATCAGCAATCCCTTAACATGAAAGAAGACAAAAACAGATAGACAACATGAATCTTTTTATTTTAACTCTCTTAAATAAAACCATTTCTAGTTTCTTGCAACCTTCCAACCTTGCTAATATCTTGTATACTAAATTAGCACACTAAAAAAATAATGCTTTCCTATAGTTGAATGGAAAATGCTAATGAGTGCCCCTAGGGCATAGTAGTGTAAAGTGTCTTGAAAATAGGTGAAAATTTTGAAAGTGTATTGATTTCAATAAAATGGGTATTGAATATAGTAATGAGTGCAACATATTCTCCTTTTTTGTCTTTTTCTTGTGTCCTAAGGCAATTGTTAGCAAGACCCTAGTTGAATTTATGTCAAGCTTAATTCTCTTACTGCCTTACATCCACCAACAGCAGAACACCCTCTCACCCAATACAAATTGATTCTAAAACCCCAAATGTAACTAAACTAGGTCTTCATTTGTGAGAAGCCAATAAATTTTTTTACAGATGATCTTAAAATTCTTAAATTCGGTGAAAATAAATGGTTCTATGCATCAATGACAGAGCCAAAATGCTCAGAATTTGAATATATGCTATAGATTTAAACTTAACATCAACCCGACCACACATTTCAAATTCCGGATAACGGGTATTTTTTCCAGGTATATAATTGCTACAAAATTTTAACAAATTCAGAAAAGGCTTACCCCTTGGATTCTCTTCCCAGTAACAGGGCATTTGGGACCACTTGCCCTCTTCTTGGTGCTCTGATACACTAGCTTCCCACCTACAATCATCCCAAACCCCCAATCAAAAACCATGAATACAAAAACAAATCCAAAGTCACACAGATTGAATTCCCCATCAGATTCACCTAAATATATACATAGATTGAAATTGATAAACAAGGTCGAAGAAATGGGTTACCTGGGGTTTTGACGATCCTGTGCTGGTTTGATTTGGTGGCATAGCTATGGCGTTTGCGATACGTGAGACGTTGCACCATCTTCGATCTCTTCCGGCTTTCTTTGTGGACTGAAGCTAAAGGGTTTTAAAGGTGGAGAGAGAAGATATATATAGGGATGTGATGTCTCAAGTCTGCGTTGCCCTAGATCGTACGGCTGAGATTGAATTCGACAGTGGTCTTTTTTAACGGGTGAGGCCGACGATTCTGTTGAATGGATTCACGGCTGAGATTAGGGCCCGAACGCGTTGGATGCACTCATAACATGACACCTGGCTTTGTTATAGTGGATGGATATCAATTATTAGTCTTCTCTTTCCATGGACTAGATAATGCGTTCTCTTATGATTTGGCCCAATGGGCCTTTAGCCCCAAAAAAGATGATGATGATGTAAATTATATTCATTATTTTTCACTATTTTTGTGATAAGTTTTTTACATGTAAATTATTATGAAAAAAAATATGTTAATTTAATAATCATAATTATATGATTTATTATATTTGTGTTAAAAAAATTGAGGTAAATATGCTTTTGAAAATAGTTCATATATTTTTTTAAAGATACATATGATTAAATTATAATTTTAAAATTATTAAATCATTTTGATTATTTTTATGGGTGAACTATACTAACAGTCCCTATAGTTTGGACTCGTGTCACTTTAATCTTTGACTTTTTAATTGTGACACATTTGACCTTGAATTTTGAATCTTGTTCAAAATAAGGACAACTGAAGATACAATTGCTCAATTTCAAGAAAAAAGTTGTCAATTTGATAAAATATAAACTAATTTGACAAAAATAAATGTCAAAAAAATATTTTTGAATTTTTAAAAATTATTTTTACCAACCAAAGATAAAATTATGTAAAATTAATAAATCTTTTACATATTTATTTATTTATTATACCAAATTAATTTTTATTATTTGTTTGGATAATAGTCATATAACGGATGATTGTTAGGTTTGCAATGTGTACTCAATATATGTATAAAATACTTTTAGTTTTGAATTTTTTTATTTAATGGATTGGTTTAATAATGATATTAAAGTTGTTGTCTTATTTGACTTTTGGAAAAATAAAAACTAATTTAATGAAAATAAAAACAACCACCCATTACATGATCATCATCTAAATACATAATAAAAATTAATTTGGTAAAAATAAATAAATAAATAAATATGTAAAAGATTTATTAATTTTATATAATTTTATTTTTGGTGGGTATAAATAATTTTTAAAAATTTAAAAATATTTTTTTGACATTTATTTTTGTGAAATTAGTTTATATTTTATCAAATTGATGACTTTGCTCTTGAAATTGAGCAATAGTATATTCAATTATTCTTATTTAGAATAACATTCGAAATTCAAGATCAACAATGTCATAATTAAAAAGTTAAAAACTAAAATGACACAAAACCTAAACTATAAGGACCTTTAGTAAAATTCTCCCTATTTTTGTTAATGATTTATACAACATTCTTTACGAGTTCTTTATCAGACGCTCTACTTGGATTTAGTTTAGAAAAATGTTATAGGTACTAAATTTTTTACCAAATAAATGACCAAATATCTTACATGGGTGTGAGACCCACAAAAAAATGGACCATACATCCATGTAAAACATTTGACTCATTTGATAAAAAATTTTGTATCCCTAATATTACCGTTTAGTTTATCATGCCCATGTAGGTTTCTAGGTTCGCAACCTACATATGGCCAGTTTTTTGATCCTTGCAAAAAATTTGTTGAGTATTATTTGGCTGCATGAAAGCTTTTTCTCTTTAATAATACTATATGTATCAATTTGTATATTAATTAATGTATCAATTGATAATATAACATAATTTAAGAAGTTTTTGGTATTTGTAATTTATATAATGAGTGATGTCAATAATAATGTCATAACTAATATTAGTACACTAGTTAGTACACTAATTAATGTATGTAACACTACCGTTTTCTATTAGGTTACAAAATAATGTTTTTTTTTATATAAAATAATGTGAATTGTGTCGGTCATTCAGTTTAAAATAATACAAGCTGCTAAGCTTTAAAATGTGATTGTTACATCATTTTGGTAAAAGATGTATAAAAATTTTAAAAGAATTAGAGTTTGTTGGAGTGTGTTATATCAGTACATTTTTGTGGTAAAGTAGTTTGGAAATACTCTCGGATCCTTAAGGACGTTCCTGACCCTCTGATTGCCACTTGAAAAATGGATTAACACTCCGGTCAGGGGTGCTGGAATTAGCACTCCAACGGACAAGTTAGTATATGTCTCTCGTTTGCTTGTGTCTTAAGTTTCTCGGGTCTGTTCTCACATATCTCTCTTTGGTTGATGCTTCTCTCTTTTATACTTTTTCATAATCTCCGGACTCGGGCCCACTTTCAATCCAGCGCACGATTGCTCACTCGGCCATTCGGTCACGTGCATATTCGTACTCGGCTTCGGGGTTGCCCAAGATGGAGCCAAATAGAGTGTATATTCTGATTTTCTTCAAATTCATTTGTTTTTCCTCCAGGAACCGCTGCTCGGCTCCCACAATTGCCCCCTATTAACACCAGTTAGTCGGCATGTTTGGTTTCGCACTTGGAAAGTCAAAAAATACGGCGGTTTACCTCATTCCAACACAAGTGTCAGAACGTCTTTGCTTTTTAGGCATCATTACAATTTCCTGCCCCTTCGTACACTTCATTCATTTAATGCGATTTGAAATTATGTTGTCTCTTCGAATGTATGTTTTTTGAATACGCAAAGCTGCTTGTTTGCCTTTCAGTATACCTCCTCAATTTCACGTCCTCTGCAACTTCCTCCCGTTTCTCATTGTCTTCTCCGCTTCTTGTAAGTTTTCTTCTCATTCGTTTCGACTCCCATTTCCTTATTTGCTTTTAGTTTAGCATACCTCCTAAACTGGCTAGGATGGCAAAACATTTGAAAGCCCTTCTTTCTACGAATCGAGTTTCTGGTTTTCAACGCCATTTTTCCATTCCTGACGACGTCCATCTGTCACTTGTGGCAGAGAGCGTAATTGATATGGAAAGGATTGATGAGAGTACAATCATTTTCTCCAATCAATCGCTGAGGGCGGAGTCCGTTTCCCTCTTCACCCATTTTTAAGGGCCATCCTCCGCGGTCTAATCCTTTCTCAACCTAACGTAAATTTTTACCGAATCATAATGGGAATCGTAGAGTTAAACAGACGTCTTAGGCTCAATCTTGGTATCCCTGCTATTCGGCATTTTTATGCCTTGGCGAAATTCTCTGGCCGGCAAGGGCGCTATTTTCTCAAGGCCAAGGACACCGTCCATCATTTGGTGACTATGCTTGCTAGCTCTGGCAAGCGTGTTGACGATGTCATGGTCGTTGTCTGAGGCAAGGGGGAATTCGGTGAGGGCAAAGATCGCCTAGATCCTGTGCCTAGACGAAAAGGCAAACCAGGTGGCCATTTAGTTCCTTATGTGTGTTTGTTATATATTTACATGGCTTATATTCTATGCACTTATCGTTTTAATTATGCAGGAAACGATCTGAAAAAAGTCCTCGTCTCGGCCGACGACGTTGTACTTGCACAAATCAAAACCGCACTCCAGTTTTTCGACCGTCCAAACCTCTAAAAGCAAGGGAGGGCGGCCCACATACTTTTGAGATACGAGCCGACTTACACTACGTTTTCAACCACAGATAACATTCCAATTCCAAGGGGCGAACAGCAGCTTACGGCGCTCGTTTTCCCGAACTTCAAAAACCTTAGGCAGATTGGTTAGAAGCTTCAGATTCAGAGCCGGCGAATGAACAAATAACCGAAGAGGTCGCTGAGCAGTCGCATCAGCCCACCTTGGACAGTTCCGATAATCTCGAAGAGGAAGTTGACGAGGCCCTAAATTTGACTTTTGAGGAAGCCGGCCTTAATCCATCCAACCCTCAATCTACTTCAGGCCGAGTGGACGTCTCCTTTGAAGATATCTTTACCGACTTAGGGGACCTTCCCAGTGCATATGTTGAGAACATGGCTGGAGAGTCGCTCACTCAGATGGCCAGGAGGAAAAACGCCGAGAAGATGGCTGCCCGGAGGAGAGCCGAGACCAACTGATCTGAACCTCCACCTGTTGCCGTGACTGAGTCTTCTCCGCCTGCTCCTGTAGAAGAAACGGTTCATATTGAAATAGCCGAAACAGAGCACATTGTCGACCAACAAGGCAGTCAAGAGGCCGAGCAGAAGGGGAAGAAGCGTCCTACCGAGTATGAAGCCGACTCTGCTAAAAACCTAACCAACAAACGACCGTGCACAGAGGAGTCGAACTTGGTTGTGCCGTTTATTGTTCAGCCATGAATAGAGAACGTGCCGATTGCTTCTGATGCATTGGCTCTGAAAGACCCTGCTGTGGCCTTAAGCATGGCCTCTTCAATTTCCCTACCAGTAGACAAAGCAACCTTTCGGGCAGAGCCGGATTTGCTGTCCATAGCATTAGCTGCTCAATCGGCCATAGTGGTACATGACTTGAGCCTTGTCTACAGTCTTCTGCCTATATTTTTTTTTAACTCTAATTCCTTGTTTTTCAGACGGTGGACAAGATAGTTGAGATTGGCCGCCGTCAACATGATGCTATTGAACAAATCAGCTTTCTCACAACCAAAGTTGAAAATGAAAAGAACAAGGCCATGGAGGCCTCTCTAAGAGCCGAGTCCGAGATGTTGAAAGCGGCGGAAGAACGCGCGAGAGCCGACGCCGAGGAGGAAAAGGCCAAGAGATCCGACCAACTCAGGTTGGTTGCTGAAGAGAAGGCAAACACGAGCAAAGACGCGCTCAAGTTAGCCAAGGAGGTGATTGCCAAATTGGAAGCTGATTTGGAAGCGTCGAAGAAGGCAAAGGAAATAGCCAACTCCGAGATTTCCAAAGCATTCCAAGCTGGGAAGGACGCCGCCTTGGAGAACTACATAGAGGAAGTGCCCAAGTTCGAGAATCGAGGCTTCAAACCTAGCTGGCTCAAAGCCCTCACTGCCGCTAATGTGACATTGGCACAGTCGATTCCATATGAACAGGTAGACGTTGAGCTGCTAGAGTCTGATCCTGAAGATTGACTAAGGTGTGATTTTGATTTTTGTTAGGCATCTTGC